TTCCAATTGTGAAGCAATAAATAGTCCAGGAACCACTTGGCTCCATAAAATTCTCTTTGCCTGTTAGCAGTCTTAAAGAGAAGAAATGGAGTCCTCCTAATTTGTGGGACTAGAATTATTAGAATAGCTTAGGTGAAGGAAAGGGAAAATTTGACCAAAGTTTTGTGCTTGTGGCAGGAGCATTCACAGGAAAGAGGGTACAAGAGCGATGTAGAAACTGCTTTCCACAGTGCATGGAATGGCTCATCTCAGATGTGTGTGATGAGGACTCTTTCTTTCCTCTGCTCTTTTCTAGTTCCAAGGTCCAACAGAAATGTAATGCCAGTGAGCTGCCCTGGTGCTTTCAACTTTTCTAGTAGCAGCCATGAAAAGTCAAAAGACACGGTGAAATTAACTTGAATCGTTTGTTATATACACGATTGTATCCACAATGCCATTTTAACATGTATGCAAATTCAGAGACATTTTGCCTTCTCTCTCTGCGCGGGAAATGGAAGTCCTGTGTGTTCTCTGCACCTGCAGCCCCTGTGGCGGGGCCGGTGGATGGTAACGTGCTGTCTTGCAGCCTCTCCTGTGTAGGAATGGTACATATGCCCGCAAGGAACCTTCCCTGTTCTGTTTTAGAGGGGCGCATTGTTTTCTCAGCTGTTACCGGAGTTGGTGTTAGCACAGTGCCTTTCTGTGTAGGCTGTAGTGCTGGAACTCTCTTTGCCAGCCCTGTCATAATTTTAGGAATCACCACTTTCGGTGTAGTATTTTTGGTGCAGCTGGAGAGCTTTTACAGTGCGAGATCTTTTCAGAAACAGTGTTTCCTTTGGGACCCAGGTGGGGTATGTGAACGCCGAGCGCACCTTGGGAGAGAATATTGAAGATTAGAATTGTCCAGGAGATTCCCCAGGGAAAGGTCACTTTCACTGTGTTCGCCTGGGTGTATTGTGTTGGTGTTTTATGTTTGGTTCTTTCTATATATTTATTTTAAGAGAACTTAGGTACACAGTGCTCACGGGGAACCTCAGCAGACTCCAGTTCACAGACTGTCAGGGTCGGAGTGCCTTTTCCTGTCGTGTACAAGTGAGCTTTGTACTTAGCCCCTCTGCGCCTCTTTCCTGCCTTTTAAGCCCCGGGGACTGGCTTTGCCCTCCGAGTTCTAGTGAGGGTGCTGGAAGACGGTCCATGCGAGGGGCAGCACTGCAGCTCCTGGCACAGCACCCCCAGAGGCGTTAGTCGTTCCCAGCTGTCTATTGATCATCTTTGTTTAATTTGGAAAGCAGCACAGGAGGAGCGTTAGGAATAGATCTCCTTCTTTGACATTGAGATGAGGCTGAAACCATTTTGAGTTCATCCCGAAAGATATATTAAGTTTTTTGATTCTGCCAGTGTCTTTCATCCCATTTCCCCATTCTCTTTGCTGTTTTATCCTGGGATAGAACATCTCTTCACCTGGCCAATTCGCTTGCTAAGAACGGAATGGTTACAGCATCACTGTTAAAGAGAAGAGCACCAAAAAGCATTTCACAAATTGCCTTTTCTGTTTCCACTGGTTCTTGAATAAACCTCAGATGCCACACACAGTTTGTACATTGCCTAAAATTTGCAGACTTTACTTCTCCAGTGTCTGGTTTCGTTGTGTTAAATATCCAAGGAGGATTAACCAGAACCCAGGTGGACCCACAAGAAAGGAAGACCTGTTTCTGCTCGCCTCTGATACCCTCACCTCTTCACTGCGTGCCCACTTGCTGATTATGCTGATTATTAGGTGGTATTTAGGCGTGAGTCTGTGTTAGAATCCTTTGTAGGCAACATCCAAAGGACTGTTTATCGTCCATGATTAACACAGGGCCTCTGCCGTCTTCGGTCCTGCAGTTTTGGGCCACGTGCAGGGCATTTCACCACATATGGTCCTTCTCTCTCATCTGCTATGCAAAAAACCAAGGGAACTATTCGGTTCATTTTTTTTGGACCTGATATTGAAGCCCCCAAAGATTTAAAATTTCTTTCAACATAAATGTATTTATTAAAGAAAATGGAAAGCAAACTGTCTCTTTCCTCCCCCTTCCCCAAGTTTGATTGACTGTCTTGTAGAGTCATAAAAGGATTTAAATCCAGAATAGAAAGGCTCCTTGAAATTGATTTCATCCAGCTTCTTGTATACAAATAGGTATTGAAAAGGGGGGAATAAAGAAGTATTGAGCTGAAACTTTCAATTTTGGGTTTAGCTTTCTAAAGTCATAAAATGGCTTTTCCATTTGACTCACCAGATGAGTTTTACAGTATAATTGGGCAGAGCCAGAGAAGGTTTTAGGAAAAAACAGAACCAAGAAAGGAAAAACAAACCCTGCTTATCTAATCATTGTAGTTCCTTCACCAGGAAAGGACTTTTGGTTAAATAGCTCTTTTTCTAAAAAAAGGGGGAATTTTTTTCACCTTTGTAATTACTTAAGAAATTGCTTTTATAGCTATTTAAACAGACTTAGAGATAAGTGCTTTAGCTATCTTGATGTGATCCAGTGAAAATTTTCATGTGGTTAGGATTTTTTAATTAAATCATTTTATTTAAGATTGTAATAGGCCTCTTAAATTATTTTCCTTAAGACTTGTATTGTGTTATTTCAAGTTAATAGCTCCTCTTCAAGGAAAGCAAAATGCAAGATATTTCTTGTGATGATTTCTTTCTGCAATTGAGGAGAACAAAGCAAAGCTCGGAATTGCTAGAAAGAAAGCAAATCTAACACCTAAGAAAAATGGAGATGATAAAAATGAACGTGTTGCGCTGGGATGGTCTGACTAGCAGCATTGAAGTTGTTGCCTGGGCAATACTAACCCAGTTCCTTGGGTTATTATTATTATTCTTTTTTATAAATGCCAGGGATGCGTTTACACTAATTCAGGGAAAGCCAATGAGTGACCTCTTTATCAGGGTTTCAGGAGGGAGCAATAGTCCTTGGAAGAAGGGAGAAAGCACTATTTTTAGTCAACTCCCTACCAGCCACGATTCATGTTTCTCTGGATGCATTTGCGTGATTATAGACAATCTTGAACTAAAGACAACATCTTTATTATTTTTCAGAGGAAAATTGCCTTAGATTTATCAAAGTTACTTTCAATTTTTTTTCTTTGAAGTTGCTTTCTGATGCATTGGCTCACATATCCCTGTAGAAGAGCTCTTTTCAGAGTCGTTGTGGGAGACAGAGTTGGGGTTAAGGCCATGTTCCCATGCATGATAAAATGGCTTGAAAGAAACCCCCATACAGTGGTCTCTGAAATCCATCACAGAGTGGAATGTACCTCTCTACTAGCAGGCACTTTTTTTTTCTTGCGTGATATTGAGGGTATAGTTTTATGCACCGTGTAGATCTCAAGAGGAAATACGGTGGTGGTATTTCTTCTTTCATCCCCTCATGTTTTGGTAAATAGTTGTATCAGCATTGACTGTCAGCAGCAACTATTTAAAAAAATAACTGATAAGCAATTTCTTTTTTGACCATCCTTTTTTTTTTGGTACCGGGGATTGAACTCAGGTACTAGAGCTTTTGAGAGCCAGGTGGTGGCACCACTGAGCTCAATTCCCAGCCCTGGACCATTCTTAATTTAGGTGAAAAAGGGCAAAGTGGAGTGCCTAGAAAAATGGCAAAGAGGGCTGGGGATTTAGTTCAGTGGCCCTGCGCCTGCCTTGCAGGTAAAAAGTCCTGAGTTCAATCCCTGGTACAAAAAAGAGAATGGCAAAGAGAGCTAAAAACCAATTGAGTACACATTTTACCAGCTGAATGTACAGATCAGCTGTTTTCTGTCTAACACTTCGCTTCTAGACGCTGTTCCCAGCCCCCTGTGCTCCGGTGAGAGGACACCCTCAGTGGAGTGGAGGGAGGGCAGGTCTTGACCCAGCCGGCGGAGCGGCCAGGCCTCCAAGCTCTGTGTGATCTGGCCTGCCTGCCTTCCTCCAGTCGGTTCACCGCACGTTGGAGTCGTCTTGTAAAAGCGCACATTGGTAGAAATGCTCTCAAGTTAGAGTAGTGATTGCACAGCACTGTAATTATACTAAAAACTGTTGTATCTCAGTAAAACCAAGAGGGTATCGGACATCAGCCCACCACTTTAAAGCTCTCCTTGGCCTTCCTAAGGTCTTGTGGGAAGCAGCCCCTCTTTATTCCCAACGTGTACCCTGTAGTGTGTCAGCCACGCCAGCTCTCCGTGTCTCACTGTGCCCCGGTCCTGCATCCCAGTCCGTGATGCTCCCCAGTATTGAACCCCATTCTTCCTCTGCCTGTGCCTCCCCCTAACACGTCTCCTTCCCTGGCCTCTCTCAGCTGCATCCCTTTCTTGTGTGTGCTTCCTCAGCCGTTTCCTTTCTCTTCTCTTTTGCCCCTTACCCACTCCCTTTTTGGGTGGTGCTGGGGATCGCACCCAAGGCCCTGGTACTGATCTGTGCCCTCAGCTTTTCTTATCTGGGTGTGGGCCTGCTTAAATCACTAGCATTTGTTTGAGGACACACTAAGGAGCAGGAGGTTATGAAGTGTGTGTTTCTGAGTGTTTTGATACTGTGGCACCCTACCCTGGAGAGACTGGATATTTACCAAATCTCACCCAACTCCCTACAGATTCTCTTCTGGGTAAAAGGAGCTAGGGACTGCTTAGGCAGACGGTAAGTGTGGAGACAGACTGCTCTGCTGATTGGGAGTACAGAGCTCTGCTTGTGCCGAGACTTTAGGGGTATCTCCAACCTGGCCCTGGAAGTCTGGGCACCCGGGAAGGGATGTTTTGGGATCAGGTGTCCCTCATTGTTTTAAGCAGGGAGATGTTACGGTTGGTGCACCCTCCGTTCTCGGTCCCCAAATGCAGGGCCTAGCTTCGTGCTTTCAGGCTAACATTTGTGGAGTGTCATGGTGGCCACTCTTGTTACTGTGAAGGTTACTGTCTCAGCCTGTGTTCTGTTGCTGTAAGTAGATACCACAGAGTGGGTAATGTATAAAGAACACAGGTTTATTTTGCTTCTATTTTCAGAGGTGCAGAGACCAAGAATGTGGCACTGCTTTGGCGAGGGCCTCGTGGTGCATTGTAACATGTTGGAGCCGTGCCGATGGCAGAAGCCAGTGAGCAAGCCAGAGACGGCTGGCTCTGGAACAGAGCTCCCACTCCTTCAGCGATCCATGCATGCGCCCACCCACGAGCGCAGTCAGACACTCACGGGGAGCCTGTGTGACCCAGGTACCTTCCCTAGGTCCTGCCTCAAAATGCTGTTAATGAACGAGTTTGAGGTTTCCCTTGCAACACGGGTCACATTCAGACCATGGCATCTGTATGTCTGCAAACTGTCTGCTTGTCACTGGAGCATTTTGCTCTAGGTCATGGATGGTCGGAGGTTTTCAAGTGGGTGCCCAGGCACCTTTAAGTAGGTCGTCTTACTGCTCTCCTCTGGGGACTTTACTCTAAGCCTTTTCATTGAGCTACCTTCCCTTCTGTATGATGGTATAATGTATTTGAAGCTGGAGTTCACTTTTTTTTGGGGGCGGGTACTGTGGATTGAACTCAGGTCCTTGCGCTTGTGAGGCAGGCATGATGCCAATGAGTTGAATCCCAGACCTCACTTGTTTTTTCTCTTTTAAAGGAGGGTACTTCTAAGAATGAACTGCGAATTTTTCAGATTTTCTTTATAAATGTATAATGAGGTATAAATGTATAAATCAGTTTTCTCAGAAATTTTGGAAATTTTTGGAAATTTTTTTTCCCACCTCTCTCTTTGAGAACAGGGTCTTACTAAGTTCTAAGTTATCCAGGCTGGGCTCTAACTTGAGATCCTCCTGCCTCAGCATTCCAGAGTGCTGGAATTACAAGCATTCACCACCACGTCTGGCTTCTTTGTCTACTCTTTGTTGTATAGAAAGATGGACTTGGCTTTGGTATTTCTCCTGGAATGTGTGTTGTATATCACTGACCACAGACCTGTGTTACAAAGTTTATTTCTCCTGTTATCCAGGCTGGGCTCTAACTTGAGATCCTCCTGCCTCAGCATTCCAGAGTGCTGGAATTACAAGCATTCACCACCACGTCTGGCTTCTTTGTCTACTCTTTGTTGTATAGAAAGATGGACTTGGCTTTGGTATTTCTCCTGGAATGTGTGTTGTATATCACTGACCACAGACCTGTGTTACAAAGTTTATTTCTCCTTTCT